GAGCGGTAACATGTTTTGTGCACGTTCTCTCTGTGCATACGTGGGTTTCTTCCCACAGACAAAAAAAGCACGTTAGGCTGATTGTTCCTAAGTGTGAATCATTTGTCTCTGTGTCCCTGTGATGGACTTGGGACGTGTCCAGGGTGCACGTCTCCTCAGGTACCGCTGGACATGGCACCAACGACCTGGAAACGAAGAAGCCGTTAAAGATGATGGATGGATCTATCCATGTATTTTTTATTTATTATTTATTTTCTGGTGAACAACGATTCAGACATTTGCTTCAAACGGAGCGGACAGTTGGATGGAAACAGTTTTACTGGCAGTGTCTGTTGAGTTCGCACGATTTCTGTCACACGTTCAGTCGTCTGTTGGTGACACGTGCACTGTGCTTGGAAACTATTTGATGTTTTAATAAGTTATTCATGTAGTTTTTTCACACTCATGCCAAGCTCAAATGTTTAATTGTCCAGTTTTGATAGTGGCGCCGTGATCGGTCACGTTTTACTCCAAACGTCTGCCTCTCTCTCTGAGGAGTTGATGTTCGACGCAAACGTTGTAAAAATGTGAAATCTCCACTGTTGAGTCTGATCACAGTTAACAGAAAATATGTGAATTAATTTATTCACGAGAACAGGACATGAACGACACAACTATTTTAAACAACGAGTTGTTACTTTGTTGAATGAAATGACATTTTATGGTTCCAAGATTAAAAAATGTGGTAAATGTTTTATTGTGCGGACAGTTTGATCAAATATTTTGTCACTTTGAACTTGAGGGAAGTTGTGATGACTCATTTTGATTAATTTTAGGAATTAATTTGTTATATGAGAGTCCAGCAGATTCTGTGATTATGCAGCAACATTTTTGCACTCGCTAACTTTCCTGTGCAGCAAAAACAAAGATTCATTGTTTCGGCTCGTCTTGTTTTCTGTACCGTTGTGACGATTTTTGCTAAAAATCTTGCTCGGCAACTTGTAATCCAAAGTACAAAATATACTTTAATCTCTGGCACTAACTGGTTGTTGTTTATGTTTGCAAATGATAATGACAATCTAAAATTATACACAATAATGTACTTTTAACATCCTTTTTGTAGTGCGGAGCTGAAAAGCAAAAATGTTTCCTATGAATTTGTTCACCTTGAGACTGTGTTGGAAAAAAAATATAAAGTTATGACTTTAATACTAAAAAACTGAACCAAGTGAAATTATTGAATTGATCTGAACTCTTAGACAATTATAAACAAATATGATTTGGGTGTTTTTCTTGTTTCCCCCTAAAAATAGTTTTTTTTTTGTTCAGGTTGTTCGTAAATTATTTAACTTTTCTTGTAAATGATGTTTAAGTTAATAAAACTTGCCATAAGGAAGTTACAGAAATGACCAAAGTGTTTTGTGGTTTCTAAAATGCACAAAATCTACACAGGAAATGACAAAAACGAGCTGTTGACTATTAAAAACTAAAAAACGAGCTGTTGACTGTATTAAAAACTGAAAA